CAATCTAGGTCTAATTTTCAAAGTTCCATTCGCTTTTGCCAAGTCATCCTGTAATCAAATCTCTTATGTTAACCAGGTCCAAAGTCCATCTGTCTTGTGTCCCCCAACATTCCAGCATCAAATAATTTATTAAATAGTTGAATATTTGTAGAGTTTAGTTTGTGCTTTGGGGTCGCCTTGCCTCCCCTTCCTTCCTTTTTGTCCCTTGCTGTCCTTCCCATCCTTTCCTTTCTTGCATTTCATAGGTTGTTACTTGGTTTGGGTGGGGTTTTTTGCTTTGTTTGTTTGTTTTAGATAAAAATTAAATCTTTCAGTTCCAATGTATTCTTTACATACTCCCACTGATTGTCTTGTCTGCTTATGTGCACTCCTCTTTGATAACCATTGTCTTCATGTGCCAGTTTTCACTCATCAGTGAAGTGTTGGTGAGGCTGGGAGAAGGGGAAGCTGTTTCTCATTCATAAAGCACCTTAGTGCAAATACTGCAGCTCCAAGGCTGAGCTCCTTGGAGCATGATAAAGCCTTTAGGTAAATCCTGGCATTCCTCACATCAGTTTGAAGTATGGATTGTCTTTATCACTAGGAAGGCTGTCTTTAAGAGATAGTTTCTCAGCTAAGTCCTGAGGCAGGGTCAGTCTGGCTCATGCGATAATGTGAAGCAACGACTCATTGTTTTGTTCTACGTGTGAAACAAAAGTAGAAGTACAGATAATGTCCCAGTGATGTTACATCTGCAGAGGCAAAGTGCTAGAAATCATTAGTCTCTGTGTGTTAAATTGATATGATATAGTAACTGCTAGTATCTATGCCTAATAGAAGTTGAAATGGAAAACTGCTGCTGCACTGGGTTTTCAGCAAGACTTAATTTTTACTGCCCCATTTTTTCATTATGGACATTGTTTAAGAGATATGGCTACAAAATGCCATGGATACATTTAACTTTTCCATTTGTTGTAAGGGAAAACGTATTTCTTTATTCTCCTCTTTGCATAATTCTTTTCCCTTTGTCCCAAATAAGTCTGTGCACATTTTGGTGGATTTGTTCATTGTTAGAAAAAGTTACATAGGTCTATGCTTTTACTTCATTGCTGCTGCTTTTTTACAGGTGTTTTGTAAAAAACAAATAAGGTGCTTCTTTATATCGAAAGTGGATTGTTAGTTGAATCTGATATCGGTGTAAAACTGCTTTGCATGAGATATGTGAAGAAATAAAAAAAAACCCAGTTGATAATCAACTATTCTTTCTGTCTGTCTTGCAGATACAGAACTTTATAGCTAATTAATAACTAATTCTTGGAATGAAAAATTATATTCAATTTCTGTTTGAATAGATACCTAGTCCTGTTAGACAACAGAGGTTTTGTTGTTGTTGTGTTTCTACAAAAATGTTTTCTTTAAACTGCTGTATTACACAAAATATTATCATTAAAAATGCTAGACAAATACTTTATTTTTCTTAAGTACGGGAAAAGCAAAAGGACAGTATGCATCCAGAAGAGTATAAAATTTTGATCTTGGCATAAACATGCTCTCTTTTGGGTCTTTGACTTATAGAAAGAAAAATTTTCTCTCTAATATTGAAAATATTTTGCACGCTGAAAACTGAGCCCTAAACCTGTAGTTCTTCCTGTAGATGTGTTTTTTGCCTTATGTGCCGCATCTCTGTTACTGTTGCTTCAAATCCTTCATATTTCTGTGGAGGAAAGTTCTTTGAAGTATGGAGTGTTGCAGCTGTTGGGGATTTGTAATGTTCTATCTCATGCCATCCTGCTTGTCTATACTGTCTTAAAGATCTGCAATTTGTCGTTATGCAGAGCTTATATATTATTCGACTCTCTATCTCCTTTGAAAACAAGAGCTTTAGGTTTCTGACTTATAGTGCTATCTTTGTAAGTTTGTGCCTATAAGTTTCAGGCTGAAAGAGTGTATGACAGTACATGATAAAAGAAACATTGCTTTGGTAGCCCTCAAGAGAGCTTGTCAGTTACTTGTTCTGTGGTAAGTCAATCAGGAAGAAATCAACAGGCAAGTCAACCGTAGAAGTGAAAACCTATTTGTTATTCTTACCTAATTTTCTTAATACATGCTGTAGTTCTGTGAAGATATCTGGGACTATGTGGTGCACAGGCAGAACTTGTAATTCACACAAGTTTCACGCAACTGCATTAATTTGGATGATTATTGAAGTAGGCTTTTCCCAACATAGAGTAGCCTTGTGTGTTTGAACATCTGTAGTGCTTTTTGTGAGTTTATTTCAAATGTTTCATGCATGTATGTAAACTGTCATGGATTACTAAGCTTTGATAAATATTTCAGCAAGTTGTTGCTGTTACCCTGGTTGTAAAATTATTTCAGGCTACTCACTTTGTCTTTTCCCCTTTCCTTGTTCTGATTTGATACTGTGGCATAAGAAAGCCTAGTAAGTTATTATTGGTGCTATAGTGTTTGAATTTCATTTGACTATTTTTTGCTGTTCTGTGTACCATATGTTAATCTCTGGTAGGGATCCTACATTGTGCTTCATGCATGGTATCGTTAGGGAAGCTCTAAATCAGTTGTGGTGAACTTTATTATTTGTTTTTTTCTTCTTGTAATTTCTTACAATTTTCTTGTAATTTCTATCCCCATTTCTTTTACTTCTGCGTGTAGGTTTGTTTTCTGGTCTTGCATTTATTAGTAATGTGGTTGAATTAAGATTTTTTTACTCTTTGTCAGATGTTACTGTGTGTTGTGATGTGAGTTCTGTTAGGCTGCTTTTGTCCAAATCAGGCCAATTTATTTTGAGAAACAAGGATTATGGAATAGCTCTTACATTGCTGGTCCCTCTTGTAAGCCTAATGGAAATTCATTACCAGACTCAGAGCTTTGATGGGAGCTAGCTGGCAAGATAAGGAGCCCATGTTCTTGTCTTCGAATACTGTATGATCTACATCAAAATCCGCATGTTGACATGTTGCTATTGTTAACAGAGACCTTAGATGATAGGTAGCTGATCTCTTAGTAAATTATAAAATCTGGTATTAGCTGATTTTTTTGCATTGAACTCTACAGCAAATAGCATTACCCACTACAGTTTTATTTTCCCTATTTCAGTCCCCTTTGGTTTTAAACTTACACTCAATTTCTGGGAAGAACATAAAACAACTTAAAATTTCCCATCAATTGTTTATCCCTGGAGATGTCCAAGAGGCATTTGGTCTGGTGCTGGGTGATGTGGTTTAGGAGTTACAGTGATAGTGCTGGGTTCACTGGATGTTCTTGAAAAGTCTCTTCCAATCTTGATGATTCTGTGATTCTATCAAATCAGTGTAATTCTTGCTTACTTATCTGAGTAAACTGGACTTTTTTTTTGTATTTTCTTTTATCTCTCCACCATTCTCTTCTGTATCTGGTTTAGATGTTTCTTACAGTGTTAGGAAGTTGACGAAGATATTTTATTCCAGTGTTAGTTTCCCCATGCTACCTTAGAAAGCAGGCACTTCATCTTGGTTGCCTCTGTCTGTGTATGCAGTTAAACCTATGGTTAGCACTGTATTAGTATGTGTGAACAATTTTACTGCTATATGGAAAGCTAACTTAATTACCATCCATATGGTGTAGTGTTTTGCATAAGTTTTTGATTTGGGAATCCATGTTATTAATGTCCTCTTCAAGCAAGCCTTGTCCTGCATAAAGGTACTTGATTCCCCTCCTTCAAGGTTCTGTAGGATTTACATACTTTTGTTAGCTTTTTATGACTAGAACTTTGTCTGGTATTTTTTTTTGTCTCTCCATGCTGAGTTTTCTTCCATATATCTTCATTTACAGTAAGTAAATGCCTTCTGTAGTCTCTCTGGCTTGTAGCAACATGTTTCTCCACATCTTGCCCTCCCGAGCAAGGAAGCTTCACTGTGTTTACTTTGCCCCTCTTTATTTTCCTGGTTGCTGGTTGCAGATGGCTGATGGAGGTGCATTCTGCAGGGATCTGTTAATGAATAGCTTCATTTCTTCTTTTCTGGCACAGTTTTGTTGGTTGCAGCAAAAGCAGAGGAGTGATTTTGCTTTGTTCTGCAGTTGTAAAATAGTCAGTTAAGTATATTCTGGGGCAAATGATCAATCTTCCCTCTCCCCCACCTCACCTCCAGCTGTCAGCCAGATGAATTGTGCTGGCAGAGACCAGCTGGGCTTTGATACGGTTTTGGCTTTAACATTTTCAGTTCCAGCTTCATGTGTACTCTGGTTTTTTAGCATTTGTGTCAGTGTGTACATAATTTGAAAAAATTTTGCCATGCGGTGTTTCTTTCTCATGATATCTTTGAAATGTAGTATTAATCTAGTAAGGAATTTTACTAAAGTTTCAAACTCATCTACTCAATGAAAAAGAAATGCTAAAATTATAAAAAAAGTATCTTTAATTAATGCGTGTTCTAATTGTGTTAAATGTGGTGTAAGATGAATATACAGATGAAGTAATTTAGACAGCTCAAATGTATGCCAAAGAAAGTGCTTTGGCGTAAGTCATACCACCTCTGATAAATTCAGAGTTGCCTGTGTGGGGAAAGTTTGTGCTGCTCTTTTAACAGAAGACCATGGTCTGTGTAGCTTTCTGTTTTGTTTTAAGGACTGCCATGGCTTTATTGAAAACAATATTGGATAGTCTTTTGTGAAGTAGTCTAAACCATTAGCTAGTATGGCATTTGATGGCCCTAAAGGCAGGGATTTTGAAGGGAGTGAAGCTTGTTTGTATGGCTACAAATCATTTCTACCACTTTTAATTTCCCTGTATGACACTGCTGTAATAATTTGAATGGTTTTGCTTTATCTTATTTTGGCTTCACATAAAGTATCTAATTACACTTTAAATTCTTATTCCCTGTTTATTTTTAGCATTTTTCAACTCTGCTTATGTAGTATGGTCTGACTTAGCAGTTGAGTTATAGGTAAAGCTAAGGTGTCTTATTTTTTCTTTTAATCCTGTTACTTTGGCACTTGTGTAATATCCTACTAACTTGTCATTGCAGCCGATCAGATGATGATTCTGGGTCAGCATCAGCTTCTGGATCTGGTTCAAGTTCTGGAAGCAGTAGTGACGGAAGCAGCAGCCAGTCAGGCAGCAGTGACTCTGACTCTGGTTCAGAGTCAGGGACTCGGTCAGAATCAGAGTCTGACACATCTAGAGAGAAGAAACAAATTCAATCTAAACCAACAAAAGTTGACGGATCTGAGGTAAACAAGATATATAAATGAATTCTTTGTCAAGGAAATGGCAAAGGAAATACTAAAAAAGTGGAAAGGGAATAGTAAAAAAATATTTTAAAATTAGTTTAAAGAGCAGTGCTCATTTAAAAAAAAAGAGGTAATGAAATGTTCTTAATTAGATTTTAACTTGATTGGGCTAGTGAAAGCATGTACTTCGCTGCCTTAAACATTGAGCAGGTTTCTCATATAAGTGTTTAAATTTGTACTTTTAAAATTCTCACATTTGTAAGTATTTTCAGTTAAAAGGCTACCTAAATTTCATCATACAGAAGCATGTGCTAATTTACTGGAACTTATGTAAGAGAAAGATAACATATACTGTTGTTCCTGCATTCTGTTTTTGCATTGTTTCTCAAATGCTTGGTTTCATTGTATGTATAAATAATTACGTAAAAAATTCAGGCTTACATATGGTTAGCTTTCTTTATCAACAAGTCTGATAAGAGCAGGAAAAAAGTGATGTTGAGAAATCTCTTCAATCCAGTGGGCCGGAATTACATGCACTCTCCCATGTTTATGGAGTGGTATACCGTATTTATGAAGGTAGTTATGGATGAATCACACCAAGAACTGAAGACAGTTAAGGATTCTCTGTTAAATTTTTTTCCATATGTTTAACTATTACTGTATGAAACAAAATCATAGCAGTTGAGCAATCTGAAAGAATTTATCTGTGTGAATTTAAAAATGTACTTTATGAAGTTTTGCTTTAACAATTACCTACACAACTATGGTTAAACATGTTTCAGTAATCATCCTAGTGATTAGCATATAACATTCTGTTTTGTAGAAATCTTACGACTTTAAAAAGCTGTCTGATATTGTTAGTTAGTGTTTTGTAGTGAATTGTTTTGTAGTGAAATGTTTAAATTGCTAAAATTAAGATGCTACTTAGGAAAAGTAAATATGTGGTAAACTGGAGATTTTCAGTATGTTTAACTGACTCTTGCATGTCTATTCCTGTTTAGTTTTGGAAGTCTAGTCCAAGTATACTTGCCGTGCAAAGATCAGGAGTACTCAAGAAGCAGCAACAACAAAAGGCAGCCTCATCAGACAGTGTTTCAGAAGAGGTGATTAATGTAATTTTTAAAATGTACACATTGCAATAAAATTACATTGAGCAAATATGTATTCTCTGAGTGAACATAGAAGCCTGGGGTTAGTCTATAAAATTAACATTCAAATAACTGACATTTTTATGCAGAAAAGTAAAGATACCTCTGGTTACTTGTTTCCAAGTGAGTTGTCCCAAAATTATAGCAGTGCTATTCTGTGCTTTTTTTTATGTAGCTATTCTGTGTTGTCTAGACAAAATTTTCAAGCCACACAGTGCTGACTTACACTGTATTTCTGGCTTCTTGAGTTTATTGTAAAGACAAATAAAAATGCTAAATTATTTTTTCAACGTGTTTTTGGAAAAGATGTCTGCTAGAGTTTTAAGAAATTCCATATGAAGTAGAAAACTAATTTTTACAAGTCTAGTAGTAGTTACCACAGAAGAATTCTTATATTTTAAGTATGAGACCTGTATTCCAGGTATTTCAAAACCTAAATCATAGGCTAAAGAAATACTGACTTTTTGCAGTAGGAATATCTTTTAAGAACAGTAATCGGAACCATGAAATGTAATTTATTTGTAAAGCTGTCTTTTTGTCCTGTATTACAAAGACTTTGTACTGTAGTCACACTCATTTGGTTGAATTTCTGGTTTTGTCTGATTTTAGGAGCTCATCTTTTAAACAGAAAACTTAATCATGTATCATTAAAATTTTAATTTACACCTGTTAAGCACTGTCTTGAAGAAAGATGCTTTTCAGGATAAAAGTTATTCTAAACTAAGTTTAAGACAATGAGACTGGTCTTAAGAAAACCTAGCTTTAAGAGGGTTCTTGGTTTTACTTTTATTGTAAAGAAAGAAGGGATGTGCTATTCTCAAAATTTTCTTGAACTGGTGTTTTAATGTGAACAGATATGAAAAGTGAAAAAGCTCTTGAGGGTAGGAGATTTCATTAGGATTTTTATAGAGACGCCATCTTGAGTAATGTGGAGCAGCTTACACCATGACTGTTTTTATGTAGGCTCAATGTTGATTTTTTAAGCTGGGAGTTTTATGTGGTGTTCTCCAGAGCAGTACTGGCATAATGTATTCATAGATGGAAAAGTACAAAAACAATACCAGGATTCAAGCAGCTAAATTGGAAGGCATTGGAGGGTAAAATTTGACAGTGGAAACTGATATATCATTTCAAAATCTACTTGTTAGAAGATTTTTTACATAATTGTTTTTGTTAGAATGCGTTGTCTTTGGTTTATGTTCTTTGGCTTTGGTTTATTTTCTACCTCTGCAGGACTCCTCAAGTAGTGAAGATTCAGCAGATGACTCATCCAGTGAAACCAAGAAAAAAACACATAAAGAGTAAGCTGTTTTCCTAAGTAATAGCACACATTTTTTATCATAGAGACAGATGCTTATGTTTCATTTCCTCACTCTTAAAATTCTTCTCTTCTTAATTTATCTTGATCTTTCATTTCTAATTTTGTAATTTTAAAATGAACTGTCAAATGAGCATCTCTATTGCACTACTTTCTCAGTATGAGTCTGCAATATGTTTGAAAACATTCATCAGTGCTTTTATTTCTAAAATACTTTGTTGAGTTTAACTTTGTTGCAGTTTAATAGTAAGTTGTTATTTAAGGTATTAAGATTGAATTTTCCTGTATGAAGTCAGAGTTTGAATCAAGATACTGTACATCATCTTTCGTGTCATGAACTAAAACATTTCAGTTAAGCAGAAACCAGGGAATCCTGCTACTCGGAGTTCTGGGTTGAAAGCAAAACCAGTGAGAGACTCCCAAGTCAGAAATACAGTTTATTAGGAAAAGGTAATAAAACCTGAAGCGGCCAGCTGGAGAAGGATTGTCCTTCTTGGATGTCCCTGCTAGCAATCCAGCACAGCTAGCAGTAGGGGGGCACTATCCTGATTTCAGTGATCCAGGACAGCACCTAAGGCAATCGCCCTGTGCTATGACAGCAATGATAGCCTTGTTGAAGGACGTGGCTTACAGCTATAATCAGCAGAGGAAGAGAGCGGACTTCAGCTGTGGTGAATCCACGTTTATTGAATCCCAGGGGAACCAACACCCAAAGACAGTTTCAGAGAGGTTACAAAAGCTTATAAGGGAGAAAGGAGACAGGGGAGGGGTCAGTCCTTGGGCAAATAGAATTTCAGGGAGGAGTGAGATACAAAAGATTGACTTAGGGAAAGCACCAATGGGGATAACTTGAGGGTGGGGCCCCAGTTCCTGAGCCAATCACTTGACGCTCTAGCTGGAAGTTTCTGGGAGAGCTTAGTGATGGATAGGACACTGGGGTGGGATTTGAGATAGGATACATTGGTTGCCATGGCAACTGGGAAGGAGTTGGGATAACTGGCAGCACAAGGGAGGGAGGAGAGAACCAGTGCAGAGCCATTACAAGAAAGGGGGAAACGGTACACTCCAACTTAAACAGACACAACACAACAAAAACCAAACACATGCAATAGTACAAAAGAAGAAAACCATTGACAGAGTCAGAATACAACCTGACACCCTGCTAGTTAGGGTGGTGGTAGCAGTCTAGATAAAATGGTCTTGTTGAAGTGGTGATCCTGTGAAAAAGATCTGGAAGGTCTTGTCCTCTGGAAACAGGTAAAGGCTGCCAGTTCTGTCCCAAAGCCCAGATTATATCCAGGTGGTGATGCTTAGCTGCTCCCCCTTGGGTGGAGCATCTCACGATGGGCTGATATCATTCTGAGTCATGCAGTGAGTTCTTGATTACCCATTAAATAGAAATGGCCTCTGGAGGGAGTTATCTCTGAGTCATGTGGCAAGGCATTATTGGGCCCGTTAATGGGAGATGAGGAAAAAACAATACTCCTCCTGGTTTCAGCAGCTCTTGAGGATGGGAATAGAAGACATTTTTATATTGTAACCTAGGACACTCAGTCGCAAGTGTCTTACTCATAGTACCTTGCCTGGCTGTGGAGCACTGATTTGATAGTTTAGTGGAAGCTTTTGGGAGCCAGTGCCACTCACTAGTTGTTGCAGTTCAGGTTTTCAGGTTTTTCTGCATTTCTCAAATCTGCCTCTTTTATTTTTCATTTCTCGTGCCAAAGTTGCTGATTCTTCACATGGGCCACAGAGACCGCAGACATTAGACAATATGAGAAATATGAGACTCTGCCGAGTACAGTATGATAGAACTTTATGTTTTGAACATGTCTAATTTCTGATGAATATGTATCTTACCAGGTAGACTTGTTTTCTTAATGTCTTGTTCACTCATTTCTTCATGCTGAAATTTATATAGAAATCCAGATTTTTGTTGTTATTTTAGATTTTAAATCTACCTCTTAGTCCAAATCCTTTTGATGCCATTGGACATTTTTTAACTTACCTAGTATTCACTGAGGACAAATTTCTGTCTCATCAATTGAAATAACTGTTACAAGATTTTTATTTCTGTGAAGAGTCTTGAAATAATAGCAGATCCCTCATGGGTGAATAACTGTTCTAAAAAATGTAACAATATGAAATTACTGTTTTTTCTTTCATCATATACAGTGAAGACTGGCAAATGTCAGGATCAGGGTCAATGTCGGGAACAGGTTCAGATTCTGAATCAGAGGAAGACAGAGAGAAAAGCAGCTGTGAGGAGAGTGAATCTGACTATGAGCCGAAAAACAAGGTCAAAAGCCGTAAACCTCCAACCAGGTAAGAGGTTGGGCATTTGAATGCTCTATTCTAAATTATTTCTTAAAACCAACTGAGTATTTATGACTACTATGCATTCGACTGAAAATGGAAGTACTTACTGACAAAAAAAAGGGGTTTTTTTTAATGTACATAGTATGATAATATATTAATGCTTTCTAGTGACTACTTTTTCCTGTCTGCTTTAAATGAAAGGAGAGTAATTGAACATGCATTAAATACTTGTATTCAGAAAAAAATGCAGAAAATTAATTGTTGCCTCCATTGAAACATCATTTTTGTGTCATACATTATTGTCTTGAAGAATTAAGCCAAAAAGCGGGAAGAAGAATGCAGGACCAAAAAAGAGGCAACTTGATTCTTCAGAGGATGATGATGAGGAGGATGATGATGATTATGATAAGAGGGGATCTCGTCGTCAGGCGACAGTCAACATTAGTTACAAGGAAGCTGAAGAAACCAAGACAGATTCTGATGATTTGCTAGAAGTTTGTGGAGAAGATGTTCCACAACCTGAAGAAGATGAATTTGAAACTATAGAGAAATTTATGGATAGTCGAGTTGGCCGTAAAGGAGGTATATTTTTTCAGTGTTTTTAAAATCCTTGTTAAGATCACGGTGCAACTTCAATGCGTATTCTCGTCTATAGGGTTAAAAAGCAATAATTTTAAAGTTACTGTCATGGTTTAGGCCTGGCGCAAAGCCAGTGCCCCCATGAGAATACCCTCTCCCTGGTGTCTCCTGTGAGATGTGACCAGGAATAAGCAAAGTTGGCCCCAGCTTAGAAATAAAGAAAACTTTATTAACTCAACTACAAGAAAAGAAGGAAAAAAACTATAAGGGAAAAATTGAAAACCTTACAAAAAGCACTTTCCTCCTCCCCCCCACCAAATTCTGCAGTCCAATACATTCCCCCAAATCACCAACTCTCAGTCCGGCACCACCCTTTAGAATACTCAATCTTCAGTTCATGAAGAGGAGAGGAGTCCTTCTTGCACCATAAGCTTCCCCTGGAAACACGCTGAAACCTCGTGTGCTTCCATGTCACCCAGCACCGCCCGGAAAGTCCTTTTGCCATCGTGACATCTTCTTTCCATGCCCAGTGCTCTCACCACTGTGCATGGACCAGAGCTGCTTCTAGGGTTGTCTTTCAAGGATGCCTTGTCTCACTCCAAAAAGGCACAATCTCTCTTTCGGGACATCTGTCCCCCCCCAGTTTTTCACCCCCTGGGGCTGAGAGCTCCCAACACTGAACCCTCCCGGTTCTGAGGCACTGCTTCTCCCTAAATGCAGTCTCTGTGTCACAGGAACAAACTGAGTCCATGGCCACACAAGAAAAGTCTAGCCAAAAGGCCACTCCGTCATCTCTCCCCCACTCAAAAGTCTTCTGCACTTCCCTCGTGGCCCATTCCCTCTTACCTCTTATCTCTCTTCTCATTCAGCACCAGGAGGATCAGCATTTTGCAAGGTCTCAATCGTGCAAGTAAAGGGTTAAAAATTTCAATCTCTGCCTGCCCCAGAGCTCTGGAACTCCCACGCTGCCCTCGACTCCCACACTGCCCTCGAACTCCCCCCCCTTCTCCTGGGCCAGCACCGCCATCGAATTCAGACGCCGGCTCTCTCTCTCTCTTCCATGGGGGGCTGCCTGATGTCTCTTGGTGCTCTTCCACCCTTCCATCCTTGGGCTGGGCCTACCTCATGGCCGCGAGGCTTCCCCCCCCCCTCCCCCCCCAGCCGGCAGCTGGGACGGGGGGGAGATCCAAAGCCTCTCCCGACAGAAGTCCCAAGAGACTCCTGGGGCGGGCAGCTCTGGTTTTTAACCCCTGTCTTTTTCTCAGAGGCGGTCCTACAATCTGAGCATCCATTGGCCTGAAGGTAGTGACCATAGCATCCCAGAAATCCCATTTCCGGTCCAACCACCACAGTTACATAGAAGTCATACTGTTGTACCTTTTATATTCGTAAGAATGTTTCTGTTCCTTTTTAAGTATTGTAGAATACAGAAAAATTGCATACCTGAGTAGAGTGTAAAAATCAGGTGGAAGATAACTCTCTATTGCATGAATGCACACCATATTGTTGTTATGCTGTTTGTACAGTTCATTGGTCTTGATCAGTGCAAATTATGTATGTGCAGAAAGTAGACTACATGGGAGAGCTGACTAATAGTCTGAACATTGAAAGACAGTGTTGGTAAGGCTGAACCACTGAAATAATAATTTCAGGTGCTGCAGTACAAATACAGAACAATGTGTGGAATGGCTACAGAAAATGCATCTAAAATTGCAATGGTATCTAGAATTCTGCTTTGTATTTGAGTCTGCAAGTTAAAATCATAGACTCACAGAATGGTTTTGGTTGGAAGGGACCTTAAAGATCAGCTAATTCCAACTCCTCTGCCATTGGCAGGTATACATTTCACTACACCAGATTGGTCAAAGACTCATGCAACTGGTCCTGAACACTTACTTCCTGGGTTACAGCTTCTCTGGGTGTAGCCAGGCAACCAGTTATGGTGCCTCACCCCTTCTTTGCAAAGAATTCTTCCTGATACCTTATATAAGTCTCCCTCAGTTTAAAGTCATTACCTCTTGTCTTGCTACTATGTGCCCTTGTCTGAAGTCCCTCTCCAGCCTTCTTGTAGCCTCCTTTAGGTACTAGAAGGTGCCGCAAGGTCTCCCCAGAGGCTTCTCTTCTCCTGGCATAGCAACCTCAACTGTCAGCCTGTTTTCATACCAAAGCTGTTCCAGCCCACTTTACTGTGTTGTTGGCCTCCTCTGGATCTACTCCAGAAAGCCCACATCCTTGTTACAGTGGGGACCCCAGAGCCTAGGGTCTTCCTTTTTCCTCTTTTTCGAAAATGAAGTTTATATTTCTCCTTTTCTAGTTAGTATTAACTTCCCTGGACCACCATGACCTCAAAGATTATGGTTGTGGCTTAGCTATTTCATCTGTCAGTTCCCTCGGGACCTGTAGATGCATCTTACCTGGTCCCACGGACTTGAAACTTTCAGTTTCCTTAATTGGTCTCAAACCTGATATTTTCCTGGAGTGGGTGATTCCTCCTTCTCCCATTCCCTCCCTGCCTTTGCTTTCTCTGGTGTGGCTTAGTCACTTGGCAGTGAAGACTGAGGCAAAGCAGTTATCATGTATCTCAGCCTGCTCCTTGTTCCAAGTAACCAGTTCTCCCATACTACTCTTAGATATCTAAACAAACACATGAAAAAACCCCACCCAAATGCTAAGCCTCTTGCACTGCAGGGCTACCTTTCTCCATTAGTTATACGCACTGTCTTAAATGATTGACCCTTGTCACAACTAGTACTCTTCTCTCAAATTCTCTCTCCCATATCCTGCTCCAGTGTATGGTGTTACTACTGTAGTCAAAGCCTTAGGAACAAAGCTTCTTTCATTCTTCCTGCACAGATGATGTTGCTGTTTTTTTGGCATTGCCTCTCTGGGCAGAGTTTATCTGCCCCAGCAGCTTGCTGGTCTCATTTCCTTATAAACACCACTGAGATTAGCTAACTTGGTTAGAGCTGGATGGTAATAATGCCAGGGTTATCCCTGTACAAGTTGAAGAGTTGGACTCCATGATCCTTGTGGGTCCCTCCCATCTCAGAATATTCTGTGATTCTGTACCCTGTCCTCACGAAAATGAGCTGTTACCTGCTGCTAGTGTGCTGCAGCTACAATACAGTCTGTGCTTAATCTGTACTTTATAATTTTTACCTCGTAAAATAACAGAGTCAGGACAAGCAACAAACTTGTTTAGGAATAAGGAGATTTATAGTGTCCCTGTTAGTAGGTTTTTCATGTCTTGAGGCTGATCAGATATAACATCAGATGTCTTTTTTATGCTCGGAGATAAGACTAGAGTAACAGAAGATAACAAGCATTGTAAGTGTGGAGCATTCCCTAGTGACTACTTTAAAAACCAGGAATGTAAATAAAATTTTCATGAGTAAAGATAAGATATTGCAGGGTAGGTGTAGAAATTTTGGTTGCTCTTTTATTCTCTTGACTACTTGTGCATGTCTTAGTATATCTACATCATAATCTTTCAAATAATAGTAATGACATGAGTGCAGTAGGCACTGGTCAAGTATATGCTCATCTAAAATTACCACCAACTACTTTGCTACATTTTTAACTGGTTAACTTACAACAACACACGCTTACTCAAGGCACATGGTGTGGTTTCTTTCTCAGCCACAGGTGCTGCAACCACAATATATGCAGTTGAGGCCGATGGTGATCCAAATGCTGGGTTTGAAAAATCAAAGGAGCCGGCAGAAGTACAGTATCTCATTAAATGGAAAGGTTGGTCACACATCCACAACACTTGGGAAACTGAGGAAACACTGAAGCAACAAAATGTTAAAGGAATGAAGAAACTGGACAATTACAAGAAAAAGGATCAGGAAACAAAACGATGGTGAATGTATTTTTTTAATTATACTTATTTTGAAACACTGTAGGTATTCTATTTTGTTTCTGAGACCTGTTACCTGGTTTTGAGAAGGTAACTGTTTTTTGTCTTTTTGGGAAGACAAAAACTTTGAAAGCCAAAGCCCCTTTAGCATGTTCCAGTAACATAATTCTCTGAATCTGGTGTGTGCGTGTGTGTGTGTGTGTGTGTATGTGTCTGTATGGTATAAATGGAATTTTAACAAGATGGGTAATATTTAAAAATTAGTAATAAATTGTAGCTTTTGGTAATTTTTCCATTATACTTTGATTGGAGTTCTTCAAGAATTGCTTCAAGGATCAATGCTTTCTTGGTGCATTAGCCATTTCAGGTGACTTTGCAGAATTCAGCTTTCTTTGCTGAAACCTGAGGTTGAAGCTTGAGAATAAAAACCATGAAGAAATACATACATTTTAAAGTCATCTCTTTGGTGTCCAGTTTTATTAGAATGTTTAATATAATCAGCGAATGCTGGTGGGATTTTTAGCCACTGATCATTAGATAGATTCTTACAGAGTGAGCCACCCTGTGTACTATTCCATGAAAATAACCTGTAAAGTGTACTGCTTATCTGGAGAAATAGCTACTACAGCTATCAGTTGTACTAGTCAAGCAACTAATGGAGAATACTAATTTTCAGCGATAAGTATTTTTAGTCATTAATGGTGAGGCATTTAGGCCAGACACAGCCATTTTGTAGTAGGGATTTTTAGGTTGTTCCTTCAAAAAACTTTCCAGGCAAGATTCATGGGATGCTTACATTCAGAGCTGTAGAGTTGCTGAATTTTCTTAGTTTTAGAAGTATATGGTGTAATAAGTGTTGTGAATTAATTCCTGCTCCAGGCTGAAAAATGCTTCTCCAGAAGATGTGGAATATTACAACTGCCAGCAGGAGCTTACAGATGATCTACATAAACAATACCAGATAGTGGAAAGAATAATTGGTATGTTACAAACTTGTGGACAGAAATCAATGTTAGGGATTCTGTATGTTCTCAGTGCTCTTGTTTTTATAGTTAAGAAATGTCAAATATTGATACCACAAAATTTTAATCCAAAACAAAACTTCGGGTGAAGAGAAAAGCTGTCAGGCTGTCTGTATGGGTCTAGCTTCTGTTGTATTATTATGTAAAATGAATGTTTTCCTACAGTACAGAAGTAAAATGCTGATCAGAATTCTGATGCATTTTTGCAGCTCATTCAAATCAGAAATCAGCTGCTGGTTATCCAGACTACTATTGTAAGTGGCAGGGTCTACCTTATTCTGAATGTAGCTGGGAAGATGGAGCTCTCATTGCCAAAAAGTTTCAGGCACGCATTGATGAGTACTTCAGCAGAAATCAATCCAAGACCACTCCCTTTAAAGATTGCAAGGTGAGTAGGTAATTTGAAATAGATTTATAATCAGCTGTACTGGGTCTGACTAGGATAGGGCTAATTTTCTTCATAGCAGGCTCTGCAGTCTGTGGTTTATTTTTGTGACCTAAATGGTTTTGGTAACACATATTGGCTGTTACTGAACAGTGCTTGCGCAGTGCCTTCTCTGTATCCTGTGTACACGTTCCCCACTATGAGTAGGTTAGGAGGGAGCACACCAGTAGCAGCTGAACCACCAGCTGACCAAAGAGGTGCTTGTTGCCGTTTAATGTCTTACTCAACAATAAATTAGTGGGCTGAGTAGGGGCTGCCTGTTGCCTGGAAATTTCTTGGGCATCAGTCTGCTGGTGAATTGATGTGTGACTCATTCTGTCCCTTGTGGGATTTTTTTTTCTATATGTTTTTTGTTTTGATTGGTTGGGTGTTTTTCCTTCACCCAGTAGACTCCTTATTTTGACCCAAATTTTTTTCCCACTTTTTACCTTTTCATTTCTCTCTCTTGTCCCTCTAGGGTGGTAAGTGAGTAAGCAGTTGGGTAGCAGCTTGGCTCCTGGCCAAATTCAAGCTACCACATCACTTGCAATAGTAAAAATGAGATTTTTTTTTTTTTTTTAATCTACATATCAAATACACATTGTGAGTTTTTTTGGAAGTTTTTTCAGAATACCAGTAATGATGTATAGTAGGATGTCTGGACAGTAGCACTACTGAGAATAGGTTTTGTAGATGCCGGTCCTCTGCATTTTTACTAGCATTCAGAAATGGATTTGTTTGGTATTGCAGTTTGTTTTAAAAGGAAACTTTGAGTGAGTTAATGTCATTCATGTTGTGACATTTAGGTTGGCAATCAAACTAGTTTCAATTTGCCAATTACTTGGTGTTTTTTTATGGCCTGGCTTACACTGATAGATAAAAACTGGAGTTGATGAGTTAGTAAATACTTCCTGTTACTTTTTCTATAGGAAGATCTTTTGGTAATTTCAGTTGCAGTTCAATCATTGACCGATGATCAATTTGCTTTTCACAGGTTCTAAAACAAAGGCCACGATTCGTTGCACTAAAAAAACAACCATCTTATATTGGAGGACACGAAAGTTTAGAGTTAAGAGATTATCAGTTAAATGGGTTGAATTGGCTTGCTCACTCATGGTGCAAGTAAGGACTCTCAATTTTGTTTGTGAATTGCAAGCATTTGTAACATATTGAAATGTTTTTTTCTGTTGGGTGGGTTTTTTTTAAAGTTGGAAACTTTCATACTGTAAGCTCAAAACAGAGATCTGAAGGGACTGGTTTTGCTCTAAGTAGTACGAAAATTATAATTTTATTTCTGTTCTCAACAAAAAGCAGCTAAGATGTGTCATTACTTTGCTTTTAGTTTCAATGGAATAAGTAATATTTTTAAATCAACCAACAGACCTAAACCAGTAATATTAGCAAAGCCGAACAACCATTTATAGAATGTCAATATTACTGATAAAATTTAAAAATTAGACTCAGGAGAACTACTTAAAACCTTTTTGTTAATTCAGGGGGGTAGGAGCGGTTGGAGATCTTGCGATGGAAAAACAATGTAAATAAATGTCTTCAAAATGTGTAGTAGTAAAATCTTGAAAACTGTTATGATTGGATTTTATATTCAAAAGATAATGATTTCTTTTAATCCAAACCTTCCCAATCTCCACACACCCCCTAAATAGTTTTGTTTCCTTTTTTTTCTTCTTTTTTTTTAGAGGGAATAGCTGTATTCTTGCAGATGAAATGGGTCTAGGTAAAACAATACAAACAATTTCTTTTCTGAACTACCTGTTTCACGAACATCAATTGTATGGGCCTTTCTTGTTGGTTGTGCCACTTTCTACCTTGACGTCTTGGCAAAGAGAGATTCAAACCTGGGCTCCTCAGATGAATGCTGTAGTTTACTTAGGAGATATAACTAGTAGAAATATGGTGAGTATTTCTCCTTGTCATTGAAAAGTCTTGTTCAAAAACAAGACATACTTAATATTTTTATCATCTGCATATCTCAGATTTTTTGGTTGGGACTGAGGAAATATTTGCTGAAGCCCTATGTCTTTAAAATGTGAATTGAAGACTTGGATTTTGATCTCATGTAAATGTGTATGAGAAGTTTCCTTTCTACTTAATAGTGGACAGAATTAAGAATTTTGCATTTGAAAACCAGTTATCTTCTCTCATGTGATTGTTTAGGTGGATATAGTGAAAATAAGTATATCAGAAAGCCAGTCATGATCTTACTTTCCTGAAAGGTTGTTGGTTTGTTAATGTTATTAATCTTACCTGTTAAAGTAAAGAGTCCTTGTCTGTTATAAAATGTGTATGTGTGTGTGTGTGTGTGTATAGTGTGCATATGCGTGTGTACATATTTATGTATAAAATATATATGTTCATATATATATTTATATGTTATATACATATTAATATTATATATATGTGTGTCGTCCTTCTGTTCCATTATCATATTGTTTTATGCTAGTAAATATCTACATTGTTGCAGTATTTCAGTTGATTCCAGTGAGCAAGACCTTTTTTCTGCAGCTTATAGTTTACTTGTTTCTTTTTGTAGATAAGAACTCATGAATGGATGCATCCACAGACCAAACGATTGAAATTTAACATACTCTTAACAACATATGAAATTTTGCTAAAGGATAAGGTAATTGCCCTTCTTTGGGGAGGCAAAAATAATTCCCCAGTATAGAATAATTCTGTTTAGACTTGCACATATTTGATTTATGTCCCATTAAATTCATGGAGAGTCTGATAGTTGTGCTACAACAGTGTGTAGTTTGGGGTTTTTGTTTTTGTTTCTTGGGAGTCTTTTCTTATTTTAAGCACTTCTGGATTTTACATACATGTGGTCAGGCTTTCAGCCTTTTCCCATTTTATGAGGTGGGTAACACTTAATTTTCTTCCGTTTGCTCGAGAGTCTCATTGCTGTAATGATCTCCTCTCAGCTTCTTGCTCTGCTTCTTTGCAGACCACCATCAAGGAACTGAAGCAGAACCTAACAGAACCTTAATCCCAAATTTGATGCAAAACTAGGAAATCCCAAATTATTTTTCTGTGATATTCTTGCATATGTGTGTGCACATGTATTAATACTGTCTCTGAAGTGATAGCACACAGAGTTATTGTTAATACCTCTAACAGTATGTGGAAATTGATACAGTTATTAAAGAAGCACTTGACTTTGTTTACTTCATTGTTTGTATGGGAAGAAATCTATAATGATTTTTTTTTCCTGCCATGTAAAAAAATGCGGGTCAGAGTTCTGGGCATTTTTTAAAATAAGAAATTTAATTTATGTTTTCTTAGGATGACTACACAGCTTTTCATTGAACCTGAAAATGTAAAAGCCATAATTATTACTAAAAACATATAGCTGTTATTTTATTGAAATAAACCAAGAAGTGATCAGGTTGAGCTTGTTTATATTATGTGGAAAATAATGTAATTTGTTGATTTCAATAATGTTTTCCCCCATCTCCATTTCCTTTTCAAGTCATTCCTTGGTGGTCTGAATTGGGCATTCATAGGAGTTGACGAAGCTCATCGTTTAAAAAATGATGACTCTCTTCTGTACAAAACTTTAATAGACTTTAAGTCTAACCATCGTCTTCTTATTACTGGAACACCTCTGCAAAACTCTCTCAAAGAGCTTTGGTCTTTACTCCACTTCATCATGCCAGAAAAGTAAGAAAGATTTTTCTTTTTAAGTTTTTTATTGTGAAGTAGTGTAGTGATGTGAGAATCTTAGAAATAGAGAATTGTACTGAAAGATAGCTTAAATATTCTACAGAAAGTATCTTTTGATGCTGCTTTAGGTAAGTAATGCTGGTAGCAGATGTTACCTTTTCCCATTTTAGCAGTGTGCAAAAATGATGGATTGATGTATGGATCAGAACCTGGGAAAAGGCTTCATCTTCACCTAAAAGAAAAACCATATAGATTTGCTCTGGGAGAAGAAGAATGAAATTTTTCATATGTTAATACTATTGATGAAAACAAATTCATGTCAAGATGCCACATGTACTGTAATTCAATCAGATAGCTGGTTTTCCCATGTGTTTTGAATACAGTAAACTTATAGCATTGACCTGACTGTGTACTGACTTCTTTAAACCTAAGGTAAACTAGAGGTCGTGTGTGAAAGTGCGTGTTCCTGTTAGACGTCTTGTAAATCCCAAGCACTATAGCTCTGTTTAAGTTGAGCTATGGATTATACAGAACTGTACAAGCAAAGCCACTGAGGTTGGGTAGCCATTATTCATTTGTTCGATCGTAAACTCCATTCTCCAAGTCTATTAGTACTGACAATAGCTACACATTAGCTAGACCATACAATCTGCAAGACATATTTTAAGTCTATTCTTATTCTCTTGCACACCCTCTGGACATGGAGCTGGTTTTTTATGCTGTCTTGATAAAATATAATAATGGACTTTTCTGCAACCATCTAGACAAGTGTCCTTGCAGAGAAGCATTGCATTTCCATTGTGGAATCAGAGGTTTTCATTCTGTAGACATTTTTTGAAAATTCCATTCTATTATTTATAGGCACAGTATCTGGGATTTCTTGGGAGATGAAAATTCAAAAATGGGATGAAACAGAAGGGAGTGGGGAAGAAATCTGAATGTATAAGTGTTTTTGTGGTATATGGTCTGTGTCTGTGTTACCTTTATTCCTGAATTTTGCTTCATCAGGGTGTTTTTTATCTTGAAGGTTTTCTTCATGGGAAGATTTTGAAGAGGAGCATGGCAAAGGGAGAGAATGTGGTTATGCAAGTCTTCACAAAGAACTTGAACCATTTCTGCTGAGAAGAGTTAAAAAAGATGTAGAAAAGTCCTTACCTGCTAAAGTTGAGCAAATTCTGAGGATGGAAATGAGTGCATTGCAGAAGCAATACTACAAGTAGGTACCCCCTCTTTGTGTATTCTGCTGTTTCAGTGATTATGTCTATGTACAATTTACTGAATTACAGTGATTTGTATACTGTATGGAAGTTGGGGCTTTGGTAGAGTTTCACCAAATAAAATCCTGTGAAGCAACAGCTCAGGAATTGCATTGGTCTAATGTCTATTTATGTAGTTTCTTTTATTCAGCATATTAATATACTCTTTTGGGAGATGTTTTTAATCTTTAGCTTGTTCATATTTTGACAGCTACATCTGTTTTACTTCCACATACGGTTAGAAGTTACTAATATTGTACATTTTATTTCATAGGTGGATTTTAACCAGAAATTATAAAGCCCTTAGCAAAGGTTCAAAAGGCAGTACCTCAGGCTTTTTGAACATCATGATGGAACTCAAGAAGTGTTGCAACCATTGCTACCTCATTAAACCACCAGATGATAATGAATTCTATAATAAACAGGAGGCCTTACAGGTAGTGTCACTTTTTAATTAAAAGAAGAAAAAGAGAGATTTTACATCTGTAGTTTTCACAGAATTATATAGTTTCTTGGCAGCTCATTACTTCTTATTGAAGTATATTAAGGAAAAGCAGGTTTTCCATTAAATGTGCATCCTGTGTTTTTACATTGGAGTATTTTTTTATTCTTAATTGAAATTGAATAATTGAAAGAGAATTGAGTAAATAAATATGCCCAGATTTAATTACATACTATTGAATGGATATTTTAAATTGTAAAATTCTTCAGGAATGTAATAAATTTTATTTTTTCTGCCCACAGTAATAGAAAGAAAGGCAAACCTCAGATGGATGTCAAACATACCCCAGTGTGTATTAGTGTTGAGATTAATTTATTTTGCAATGTGTGTTTCTTGGTTTTTGTAGCATTTAATACGTAGCAGTGGGAAGCTAATCCTTCTTGACAAGCTACTGATTCGTCTGCGAGAACGTGGCAACAGAGTCCTGATTTTTTCACAGATGGTAAGGATGCTGGACATCCTGGCAGAATATCTGAAATATCGTCAGTTTCCATTTCAGGTAAGAAACTTGCTAATAGTAGCAGCTAAGAAGCTTTGATCTTGAATATTAATTTTTTTTTCTTTACTGTGAGGGTGTCAAAGCACTGGAACAGGTTTTCCAGAGGTTATGAAATTTCTATTTCTTGTTGAGGTACAAAAGCTACTTGGACATGACCTTGGGCTGCATGCTTTAGCTGTCCCGGCCCCAGTAGGGGATTTAGACAAGATGACTCTCAGCAGTCCCCTTGAGCTTTGTTTGTGATTATGTAGCCTTTACCCCTTTGATTAAAAAAAAAAGGATGAAAATGTCTTCTTTTTCCAGGAGGAGACTGGCTCTATGATGAATGTTATTTCGAAGTGAAACAGATGAATTAAAAATTATGTGAGCTGTTTAATTACTTTTTTCCCCTTCGTGTAATAAGCAGCTGGCAGTTGAAATTGTTCTGATGTTGAGTACAATATAAAATTACTTTTTAACTGTAGTTCTCAATCTCTCTAGAGACTTGATGGATCAATAAAAGGGGAATTGAGGAAACAAGCACTGGATCATTTTAATGCAGAAGGATCAGAGGTAAAGGTTTTTTTCCCTGGGGAGTCTGTCTTAATTTTTCCCAAGTACCAAAAGACATTGCACAAAAAAGAAGAGAAGAAAAAAGTCAGGAATATATCAATAAGGTTGGAAATTCATTGCTACTGCCTAGAGTATAAGGTTTATGTAATATTTTTTTAAGATGTTAAGTAGATAACACATAAATTAGGAAAGTGGTAGCTGATTGCTCTATAAATGCTGCAAAATTTTAACTCCAGCTTTGTTCCTCTGTAGAAATTAGTAATATTTACAAAAGTACTGAACTTTAGCAGTTAGTATTCGAAAGTCCTTTGGCAATGGGTAGAACTAACTTCATATATCCTTGCACAAACAATCATATTTTACTTGTTTCAAATACGATTCCCGTTGTCTTCATTTGTTGACACCTGTTACATGCCATGGAAGAAATAGTAAAGTACTGATTTCTGGCAATTCTTTGTGAGTAACTTGTGAGTACGTAGGCATCTGTCACAAGTCTTTCGATTCTGAACTGGAATATTTGTACCTTATTTAGCACTCCTATTAGGCATGTCATTCCATACTGTTGGATTGGTTTAAATCTTTTGTCCTACACTCTCAGATTTGAGGGAGGGGAGGTTGGTTGGTCATTGATTTTGGTTTAGTTCAATTTGTATATGAAGACAGCATTTCCTACTTGCTGCTGAGCTTGTTTCTGCTTTGTATAGGGAGAAGGACCAAATTCCATGTTAAATACAAAAGCTAACTCTCTTTCAAATTTCTTTCATAGACATTGTTGACATTTTCTGAAATCTTAGCAGTAACACTGTATATTTTTTGAGATGAAGAAGACTTTATGCATTTCTAAAATTTATGCAAACTCTGCATTTGTGCAGCAAGAAGAAGAATGCTCTCAGTTTTATTTTTAATTTCCTAAAATTTCATAATATTTTTGGGTGGATTTTGTAGAGTGTTAGTGTTACTGAGCTACAGGCTACCTGAAAATCTTTAACACAATTTTCAGGACTCTTTCCTTATTGTAATGGTTGCTGTTTCCTGTAACTGTACTGAAAATTTGGTTTGGTTGGAGTTTTATAACCTGCTTTACTTTAGCTTGGATTTCATATCTTGTTTTTTGCATGTCTCAATATCTTTCTACAGGATCATCCTTCTCAATAAGTTTATATTGCCTACAGGGTTTTTTCTCCTTGCTGCTTACCATTTTCATATTGTTCGTGAATATGCTGAACAGCATTGAACTTGAAAGAAGGTTTTTGCTTCTGTCTCTTAATCAGTTATGTGTAGGCTCAAGTGCTTTCCCTGCTCTGATATGACTGTTTAGTCTTCCAGGGCTTGGGGCAGGGAGGGTGGGAGAGGGTTTTTGTAGTGCTAAAGGCTTTGACAGTAATATTTGGTAACTTTTTGGCCAGTCTGGTTTTGTTGGGATGTCTTGCTCAGTGATTGTCATCTAGGACACTGCTTCCTTTAAACTGACTTGAGAAGTCAGTAACTTTATGAAAGAAATTGGTAATCAGCGTTTGCTTTATATTTAAAGATGCTTTAAGCATAGAACAATTATGGATTTGGTAGCACCACTTTACTGCATAAAGTATATACTCCTTTAGGAATATTACTAGTATTGTATATAAAACTATTTCCTACCTTATGATTTCAGGACTTCTGCTTTTTACTGTCTACCAGAGCTGGAGGATTAGGTATCAACTTGGCATCTGCTGATACAGTGGTTATATTTGATTCTGACTGGAATCCACAGAACGATCTGCAAGCACAGGCTAGAGCGCATAGAATTGGACAGAAGAAACAGGTAAACACACTCAGTTTAAGCTCCAGACCTGAAAGACAGTTCTGTACATTAGCTGTCCACTCTCTGTCTGCACCATTCAGTCCTCATGTATTTTTGAGAATAACTAATACTTTCTGCATATCTCCAGAAATGTTAGTAATGCTAATTTCTTTTTTCCTAAGTCGCCATACAGGAAGAAATAATATGGCAGCTGTGGTATTTGGGTGGGAGAGGGAGAAGAGTTGTCAAGTTGTCTGTCTTATGTTCATTGGTATGATGTCATTTTACAAAATAACTGCTACATCAGGCACATCCCCAATGCTTAAATATTCTAGTTCTCAAGATGATTCTTTCCTTCTTACTGAAGACATACAGTAACAGTTAGAAATATGACATTATTGCCTCTGGCAAAGCCTTTGCTTTGAAGTTTGGAAAGAAAGGTCTACGATGACTTAATATAAAACATTTCTGTAAAGACTGTGGTAATGTGATTAAATTAGTATTTCATATTTGAAACCCATTAAAAAGTTCAGAAATCACGTAATGAAGACTGAGATTTCTGCTTTTAAATTTTTTTATTTTTTAAATACACATAGGTTAATATTTATCGACTAGTCACAAAAGGATCAGTAGAAGAAGATATTCTTGAACGAGCCAAGAAAAAAATGGTGTTAGATCATTTAGTAATTCAGAGAATGGACACTACAGGGAAAACTGTGTTACATACAGGCTCTACTCCTTCAAGGTACCTTTATGTTTGTTTCTCTACCAGCTTACCTTAAGAATATTTCAGTTGTAAATGAAAGGCAAAACAGAAGATGCGAGGTCTTTGTAGATTTTTATTTGCATAATAAATGCGTATTGCAAATATATGAAAAGTTTATATTTAACAATAAGAAGAATGCTTAATTGACTCATGATTATAGAAAACTGCAAGTTTATAAGTTAAAATGTTTTTCCTAAAACATCATTTATTTCAGCTCAACACCTTTTAATAAGGAGGAGTTGTCAGCAATTTTAAAGTTTGGTGCTGAGGAACTTTTTAAAGAACCTGAAGGGGAAGAACAGGAGCCTCAAGTAAGTGGTGCTTCTGGACTAGGTAGACAGATCAGCCCAAAATATGTATGAATTATGTAATTGTAAAGAGAAACTTCTTTTTTTTACCCTCAGGAAATGGATATAGATGAAATATTGAAGAGGGCTGAAACTCGGGAAAATGAGCCAGGTCCATTAACTGTAGGAGATGAGTTGCTTTCGCAGTTCAAGGTAGGCTCTGTTCCCTCTTTCCTGCCATAATTATACTTTCCCTTTTAAACAGTATTATTTCTCTTCTATGTATCTAACTCTTGATTCTTCAGAAATAGATGCCTCAATAAGTCAACTCTGTATCGCTTCCTAGTAAAATGGTTTTTTGCCTCTACATGATATCTTACTGTCATTATAAACAATAGGAATATATTATGTATTTTGTATTTATGAATGTGTTAATGCTTAGAATTTAAGCTAGTGTTTTATTTACTGTCTTTGTTATTAAGCAGCTACAGTATCAATAAATGCAATGTGTTCTTTGTGTTTCTTAACTGATAATTTCTCCAAGTTGCTTTTAGCCCCAAAGTAAAGTTGGAATATCATGTATTTTTAAGTGTTATGAGTTAAACATATTATGTGTGCAAGAAAAAAAAATGCAGAGCATGATATGTTGATATGTAGTTCAGGAGATTATTAAATAGCTCACCTGCTAATCACTCATATAAAATATAAAAATATAAATAAACCATATTTTTATATCAGCATTGTATTAATGTTTGATTAATTTTATATTATTATAGTTTCACATTAAATCAGACATTTAAATGTTGTTAGCCCTATGTTGAATGAAGTTAAACCACAATCATACAGGTGTGAGTGGTGTGATTCTCCTTGTGTCTCTTCTTAGCCCATGCTGAAAGGAATCTATCTTTCCTAAATTATTAAAAGTACTCTCATTAGAGTCTGTTTCATGAAACATTTTGAATTCATAAATTTAATATATATCTTATAAAACAATAGTATATATAGAGATAAAATATGTGTTATGTGTATAAATTCATAAAATATGGGCTCTGTAACCTTGTTTTCCTTAAATAGTAGTTGATCAGGTTTTTTTAAATTGTGTCATGTATTGACTTGATGAGAATGTATATATTTTGATGTTACAAGGTGGCCAACTTCTCCAATATGGATGAAGATGATATTGAGTTGGAGCCAGAAAGAAATTCAAGAAATTGGGAAGAAATCATTCCGGAGGTCCAGAGGCGAAGAATAGAAGAGGAGGAAAGACAAAAAGAACTTGAAGAAATATACATGCTTCCAAGAATGAGAAACTGTGCAAAACAGGTATCTCTTGGCTTTGACTGAATTATAGTTCTGTGTTGCTTTTGGTGTAGTTTGTTGCTTTTGGGGTTAGGGGTTTTTTTTCTTTTTCTGAACACTTTTTTTTTTGACAGAGCAGGTAAAATTTGCTTATATTTGTTACTTACATAGCTTGCTCTGGAATTCCAGATTAGCTTCAATGGCAGTGAAGGGAGACGCAATAGGAGTAGAAGATACTCTGGATCTGATAGTGACTCCATCTCAGAAAGAAAAAGGCCAAAAAAACGTGGAAGACCACGAACTATTCCTCGAGAAAATATTAAAGGATTTAGTGATGCAGAGATAAGGCGGTAAGATATGGGAGTACATGCATATTTAAAGGAACAAGAAATTACGATTATTTTTATTAATAATAATATTATTATCAGTCTGGAAACTACAGCTGGTAATCTGGTTTTCCTGAAGTTGTTTGACATCTTTTTATTCTAGACATTTATTGTTTTTACCTTGTGGTGCTGACATAGTGAACTGTTATAGCAAGAATCTGAACCCATTTTAATGAGGTGTAAAATTAGGTTTTAAAAATATGTATGATTGGTTTAAATGTTTTAGTTCCTGCAGCCTGTGAAGACAGTCATTTCACTGAATAATTACTGACAGTGATTTACAAGGGGTGCTTTCCTTTAAAAATTAACAAGCAAAATAATCTGGTTTCCACCAATTTATCTAAAACTTGCAGTGTTCAAAGACTGTGTCACATCTCTTTGGTGACAAATGAAACAATTTGATTGGATTTTATTTTCATTTTAAACTTCTTGGCACTATAATTGAATTGTTACATCCTGCTTTTTTAAAACTAAGAAAATATAAAATCCTATTTGAAACTCGTATTATCATTGATCCCTTCTGTATATGCTAAATATTTGCTGAAGTATTGTTTTGGTAGGAGGAGGAGGAATTCTTTTTGTTAACATTTTTGGGTTTGTGAAATGCTACTTTGCTTCTGAAATTTTTCCCTAAATTGCTGTAAAGTCTTCAGAGTATTTGTTTTAGAGGAATAACTTCAAAGATCCTTTTTGGCTTTCTATCTCATCTAACAGTGAGGCAAATTGGTACTTTTTTTGAGGCTATTCTTGTGCATGAACAAGAAGTTGTTGAGGAAGTCTTCTTTCTTCTTCTTCTTTTTTTTTAATTTTTTAAAAATTATTTCTATTCAATTTCTTTTCTCCTCCAAATATCTCCAGTTTTTTTCCATTGCTTATGTATTTGAACAGAGAGTATCTTTCATGTAATTTTCCTAAATCTTTCAGTTACCTGTTGGAATTATTGCTCTTTTTAATAACCATACATAACATGATGTCTGAAATCTTCATTTACTGTAAATCCACATTCCGTTTTGATTTTTAGATACGTACAGCTGCGGAATCCTCAGTCTTGTGAAATTAATAAAGAGATTTCTGAAATAAATTATATCTTCTATCATTTTATTTGTATCAGTTCTTAAACCCATAAAACTGATTTTATCTGAATATATGAAGCTGCTCTACTTTTTTTCTCTCTATTGCACATAGCATTATACTAAGATTAACAATTGTATCAATGCAACTTTAAAACAAATGTTATTTGTTAAGTGTATATTTAAATGGTAACATTATTTTCTGTTACTAGGTTTATCAAGAGTTACAAGAAATTTGGTGGCCCTCTTGAGAGGTAAAGTTGTTTGATTATTATTTGTGTGGCAGCTTGAAATCTATTTTTTTATAGATATTAGAATGTACCATGAAACTTTTGGCAGTAGGGGAAATACATAATCTTGAATATAGAGTGACTATAGTGTAGTATCTTCCTTTTCTTCATGTATGGTATGTGTGCAGACAGCCACACAACGGACTTTGCCATTTGGAGGAGCACTTCCTTTTTATGTATCTGCTGACTTGTTTACTCTTCATTGGTGATAATCATTCACTTTTCATGTTTGATAAGCCTGTTGAAAGCCTATCAGTTTATCCACTCTGTCAAAGTTAGTTTTGCATTTTACATATTGCCAATTGTCATTTTTGAGCTTCTTTCATTATTCCTATTTTAAGAAAAACTTCCCATCCTAAAAAATGTTAATCCTTACAAATATTTATAGTGCATATGATCATATGATACATATATGTGTGTATGATTTAATGATTCATTCTCTAAAGAAATGTGAAATAATTTAACACTAGGGTTACGGTTCTTTACAGTTCTTGTTTTATTGTTCTCATACCTCAGTAATGTAGAGGTTTTTTTCTTGGATCAAAATTGTACACCAAACAGAAACCACAGCTGACTACTAACTTCATATATCATATATTTTGTTTTCAAGTCTGAAGAAATCATTCACAACTGCCAAATTTTCAAACTTACAAAAATTAGTCTTTTTTTTTTATTACAGGTTAGATGCTGTAGCTAGAGATGCTGAGCTAGTTGATAAATCAGAGACAGACCTCAGACGTTTGGGAGAGCTTGTACATAATGGATGCATTAAAGCCTTAAAGGACAATTCATCTGGACAAGAAAGAGCAGGTACAATATTCAGGGGGCTTGAGAGTACAGTGAAAATTGACAAGAAAAATTAGTCACTCTTGCACTCTGATTATAACAGAAAACAGTTTTGTTGGGAAATACAAACAAAACTGTTAGGGTGCATACTGGATAATTTAAATAAACCCAGAGTTATAGTAAGGTGACTTTTTCCCCTTTCTGTGTGACTTACCACTGAAAAAGGAAATAGATTTTTGATTTGCTATGAAATTTAGATGTATTCCTGTTAAGTAGGGACTTTTCAATTCTGAGGCATTTAATTCAAGCATTTGATCAAGAAAAGGTGATGTGATATAATTGTTTTCTGTACATTTTCTCATGTTATTTGTAAAAGTAAATATTTTAATAGCATTGTCATTTATTTTAAGGAGGTAGACTTGGGAAGGTTAAAGGCCCAACATTCCGAATCTCAGGAGTGCAAGTAAATGCAAAGTTAGTCATCTCTCATGAAGAAGAGTTGGCACCATTGCACAAATCCATTCCTTCAGATCCAGAAGAAAGAAAAAGGTACTGATTTTTGCATATTTTTAAGGGAGTAGTAATGCAGAAAACTTCTCAAGTATTTTTTTTTTGCAACTTTGATTCAAACATTTTGTTAAAAGCATTGTCCCTCTATTCCTCTGTTTCCTTGAAGAACTGGCAGCAGTAACCTGCTCCACAGCTGTACTTTGTTTTTTCTTCCTTTGCCACAGAAGCCAGTAAGAGCCTTAATTTGTCAATTGTATTCACTATGAACTGTGTTCAATTACTAATAATAATTAGGACTAGAATTCAGGCTTGAGGAGGAGCTAAATGTGTCACCTCTGCTTGAGAGGAGTATCAAAGTGCAGCAGTAGTTGTTCCTACCCTCTATACTTGCCACCTTGTGTATTGCAGTTCCTAAGCTATCCACTTCGTTAGAACACTTGGATGTTAATTTTTGCTTTTATTCGTGGCTAACCGATCCTATCACAAAGCTCATGGCTACAGATAGATATCTGTTCTTCATATTTTAGTCTTAATAACACATTCCAGTGCTGATTTCAATAACTGTGATATAGAAATACTAAGAAAATATTATTATAAATATTTGGATTAATTTCTTAAATTTACCAGCATCTGAGCAGAGAAAATAAATCTAGTTACATTACCTTCAGTATGTTCTCTTTCCCCTCACTAAATTTCAGATGTAAAAATCATGTATTTTTCTTTCTAATACATTTCTTCTAGATATGTCATCCCATGCCACACTAAGGCGGCTCATTTTGATATAGACTGGGGTAAGGAAGATGACTCCAATTTGTTGATAGGCATCTATGAATATGGTTATGGCAGCTGGGAAATGATAAAAATGGATCCTGATCTCAGTTTGACACAGAAGGTATGTCGTCTACAATAGTTCATCAAGGACTGTTTGCTTAGGTATTGATGCTGCTAAGTAGTGTTACTGAAAGAACTTATTTTATGATAAATGAAATTGCAAAAATGTACGTCAGTTGTGCTTCATATGTAATTCATATCCTTCTCATAGTATAGTACTAAATTTTGGGGTCTTGAGTATTTATTTTGAAGCATGCCTTCTTGCAGTCAGTGTGTGTTTTCATATTCTCACGTGGTTGGTTCTGTGTAATTTGATTTTTTTCAGTCTTTTCTTTCTTTACTTCAGATGTTCTGGTTTTGTTTCTCCATCCCGGCTTAATCCCCAGGTTCTTCAGTTGAAGCTGTCTTCCACTCCCAATTGAGAGTAGCTATACTAGAATTAGTGCAGTAACTTCTTAGCAATAGTGAGCAGCAGATACTGAGGAAAAGCCTGGGGTGAAGTAAACTTTGTGACAGTGACAACAACCTATAGGTTTGGGATTTGAGAAGACAGGTTTGTGTCCAAATTTGCTTAGTCATGATTCCTACACCTGCTTTTCATTAATTTGTCTGGCTTTTGAAACCATGTATTTGTGTTCTTGGCACCTGCATTTAGAAGATGAATGAGTCAGACACTGGAGTTCTGTGACTGGCTGGTTTCTTAGATGAAACATCAGAGTGGAGATAGAAATATGAGGCTGGTTTCTTGAGCTGCTTTTAAACTCTGATGCAATTTCCAAAACTGCATTGGTCACTTGCATTGGTTTCATGGGAGAGAAATGAAAACTTACATGAAATTCTCCTTCACTTTAAACATTCTGATATATTTACTGAGTATAGCTGGAATGTGCTCTAGGCTACCACCTGAAGTTGATAATCTGTACTCACAGTTGTGATGCTACCATTTTCTCCTCAGATTTTGCCTGATGATCCAGATAAAAAACCCCAGGCAAAGCAGTTACAGACCCGTGCAGACTACCTCATTAAATTACTGAATAAAGACCTTGCGAGGAAGGAAGCACAAAGGCTTGCTGGAGCAGTAAGTAAAATGTGGCATTCATTAATAAGGTAAAACAATATGCTGATTGGCATGTCACCTGATCCTTTTAATTTTTCAGTTCGACACTTTTTATTTGTGTAGTATTACTCTATTCCTAATTTTAGAATGTAAGACAAACTCAGGATATTAATTGCAAGTTTCATATAGTATTAGTCGCTTATTATTTGTGTGTATTCTCTACTGTTGCACTAAGCTCTGTCTGCAGTCCTGAGTAAAGTGGTGGTCATTAGTGGCAATAAATAAAGTAAAAGGAACTCTCTCTTTGATGTAAAACCAAATCTTACTTTGCAAATATAGTGCTGGAATGCCTGTCAGTTGACATGATTAAAGAGATCAATTTACATTCAGGGCAATTCAAAGAGGAGGAAAACAAGAACTAAGAAGAATAAGGTGCTAAAGGCTGCAAAATTAAAAGAAGAAATAAAAAGTGATTCTTCACCACAACCGTCAGAAAAATCTGATGAAGATGATGATGAGAATAACAAGGTGAGTATCTTTCACACAGTAAAGATACTTACCATACATTCAGTTCTTCCTGTTAGTATCAATTTCTATTTCATCTTCTGCTTGGTTTAATAAAATTAAAACACCTGAATGTCATTCTTTTCCTGTGGCCACTACAGCTGATGTTGCATCATACAAGCACATGGAAGACTATCTATTTCAGTTTAATCATAAATAAATAAATAAATAAGGAATTATGAGTTTTCCAAATAGTTATTAAAATATTATAGTCTAAATAATAGTGACATCGCTCCGTTTCAACTTTTTTTTTTAAGCATTAGCCCTGTATTTGCAAGAATTGCAAATCACAGTTGTAAAACTACTGGATGTTGCTCATGTGTTACTACTGCTGGTAATGATTCTTAAGGTAAAGACTTTTTTATTGAGGCTGAGAAAAATGTCGCCAAGCTCCACTGGAATGCACAGCATAAAAAATTGTATTTCAAGGCTTGCATATGAAAGCTCATGTATACATCATGGCTCTCATTTTTCAGAAAAACTAACCTTGTTGGGTTTTTTTACTTATGATTATTAATCTTGGTATTGTGCTTTTGTTGTGTCTTTTTATTTTTGTTCTTCATCACATAGCAAAATCACTAGACATAAAAATTTGGATAGAATTTAGAATCATGTCACAGATGATTTGAAAGCAGTTGAATTAAGTAACTGCAATTCTATAATCCATAAAATACTGTACTTTGTTTAAAGCAAACAGTTACAAGCTGTTGTAATTGTCAGCTTGTTCTAAAAGAAAAACTACTTATGGAATACATAGTTAAAATTAGCATTAGAAAAGCCATTATAAATCTATGAAAAAATAGTAATTTTTAATCACTCTTTCAGTGTATGTATTTAAATTGTACTATAAAGAATAAAATGTGAAGCCAGCAATTAAAAAAAAAAAAAAATCAATGTAGACTGCCCTGTGTTTATAGCTAGAATAATCTGCCTGGAATGTAAGACTAAGACCTGCAAATGTTGCCACAGTTGCCAGTACATTAATGGGGACAACTGGACCCTAAAACTAAGCAAATTAATTGTTCAGACTGCTTTAAAAATGAGTGTTAGTCTTCATCTCCACTCAAAAGAAAAGACACTACCATCAGCTGATGGACTTAACTGTGTTTTGCGAAACTGCCTAGAATGCTGTCCTCTCTGTTAATAGCAGGTACTCATCGCTTCAGTACTTTTGGGCACTGAATAACAATACCATTTCTGAATACTGGACTGTGTACTGCAACCTTTCTAAACTACTGGCTTTAGCTACCTAGATTCCATACTGTGTGCAGTATCTAAAACTTACCTATTTTACTGCCAGAATTAACAAAAAAGTTATCAAATCATTGGATTTTTGCTAGAAAGTAGTTCCCATGATACCTAAACACTAAAACTTAGCCCTGATTGAGCTCATAACTTCATACATGTTGTAAGTAACTGGTTCAGTTCAAGTACTAGACAGTCTTTCATCTGTTTTCATGCAACAGATAAGCAGTTTCTGTATGTGCCTTTCTGGTATGTTCAAATAAATTCAAACATGATAATGATTCTTTCATCTGTGTTATAATAATACTTTATTTATAGTATTTTTCTGTGTCTGAAAGGATATTAGTTTTTATCCTAGACCTTTTCAGTGAATATTATAAAGAGCAGTGAGTAATACTTTGTTCACCTCCAAAACAGGTTAAATGGGCACATAACAGAGAGTCAGTAATTAAAGATATTTTTAAAGCCTAGTGAAATTACCAGTTCTGAAAAAGAGAAAGTTGGGATTCTGTTACCTTCTTCTGTGAGTGTTTAATATGGGATTGGGACAGAGCTAATTAGATCAGAGGTCTTCTAACATCTCCCATCACTTGACTAGCTTGACTGACCAGGTCAGTTTTGCAAAACCATACTTCCTTTTAGATTTCAGGTCTTCAGTCTAACAGCCTTTAAAGGGATCAAATTCAAATTTTATTCCAAGTTAACTGGATACAATTTCTCATGCCCACTGCCTCCACCAATCAGTACTTGCTTTGTCACATCAAGGAAGTGAGTGCATAGCGCTCATATTTCTTGACCAACTGCATTCAGTTCTATTTAGAGGTGATATGATAAATCTATGTCCAGAAATAAAAAAATTCACAGATAAAAAGTGTTTTAATCTATGCAAAACTTGTATAGATAGGAACCCAATTTGATGTGACATATATGCTTGCATATTGCAGGATGAGATTGTTTCAGTGAAACATCTGCATAAAAAATTTAAAGCAGAAAAAGAAAATGAAGAAAAGCCTGAGCCAGATACTGGTATAAAGAAGGAGGCTGAAGAAAAGAGAGAGACAAAAGAAAAGGAAAATAAGAGGGATTTGAAAAGGGACAAAAAAGAAAAAGAGGATAAGAAAGAATTAAAAGAAAAGGATATTAAAGAAAAGAGAGAAAACAAAGTAAAAGAATCCACACAGAAAGAAAAAGAAGTAAAGGAAGAGAAGGTAACTAGGTTTACTTATCTTACATAGTGCTAGAGAAGGCCACCAGGTTTTTGTAAATTATTTTGGAAAAAATGTTGTGGATCTGATTAGTTGTCATTTCAGTAAAGTATTTTATGTTATTTGAAGCTTTATTTTTACTACCTGAAATCATTAGGACAGGCATTTGAAATGGGGAAGTTCAGTGATACAGCTCTTAATTGGACTGAATGTATGCAAAAAATTCTATTTTACCATTTCACAGAGAAAGTAAAATGTGCTGTAATTGAATGTCAGCATAGATTTTATTCTTATATATTGAAGAGAATGCAGTGGTTATGGGTATTGTCATCTGTTATAATTGCAGAACCAAAATAAAATGTAGTTAAATATTTTTGTATCTTGTTCTTAGGTAAATGAAATCAAATCCGAAAATAAGGAAAAAACTAAAAAAATTCCATTGCTGGATACTCCAGTTCATATTACTGCATCTAGTGAACCAGTTCCAATATCAGAAGAATCTGAAGAGCTAGATCAGAAAACTTTCAGTGTGGTAAGTCACCTTTTAATAAATTATTGTGTATACTTAATAGTCTAAATGAGGACAATTACTGATATTCTTGATACTGTTACTTGGCACAGTAACACAGGTGATCTTTTGCAATGTCTTGGGTCAATGAATGTTATTGACAGTGTACCAAAGTGATTTTTGACTCTGTTCTAGGAGTTTTATTTTGGATTTTTGTGGTATATATGCAAGATAATAGAAAAACCCAACAGTTTGTAGGATTAATAGGTTGAGAATATTAACTAAAGATTTATCCATGAGAATCACCTGTATATCCTGCTTCTTAAGAGCAGATTGGAATGAATGTTAATGGAATTCATGGAGTCTTTGGCTTCACCATATAATATATGCTTTTCTTCTTTGTAAGATAGCAAGAAAAACTAGGATTCAGCACTTCTCTTCTGAAGTATTGCAAACTTTAGTTAGTAAACACAGGAAGAAACAATGCTAAAGCACTTAGAAATATCTTGCTGAGGTAGTGTCTCTGACACCAAAAGAATTCTGTTTAATCACTACTGCTTACAAGAATATAATTGACATTTGAGAAAAATGTATATGCACAATTTATATGAAGTTTTATAGGTTGGCTGAGGCCTATGGAAAAGTATCAGCGAGGTACTTTCACAGCTGTGGTTGTTTTGTCATTCAGATTTCAACAGCTGTGTTTTTGCCAGCTAGGTCTGTTCGGTGTATTGTGGTACTGGCCGTGAGAACACCAGTAGGATTCTTGTGATTATGGCTTTAATCATGGGTTTATTCTTAACTCACCTGTGATTTTCAGCATGGCCCTTGAGTGATTCAAGTGGATATGTCAGTGTGGCTAATGACAGAAAATAATTTGATTTCGATATGCAGTTACGTATTTCTGATCACTTCTCTATTTAAGAATTGCACTCTGTAAGCTGTCTTTTAAAAAGCTACTTTAATCTGTGGCAAGTTTAATATGTAAACCAAATGGATTCCTTAGTGGCATGAGATGGCAATGGAACAGCTTCCCCAGTTTTTCCGAGTTGTCCCTAGATGCTTACCTGGTAATGGTGATATTCCATTTCATTCCATTCCAGGTATTTGTTTGGTTTTTCTAGGTTTGGTAGCATATAGTGGGGAAGAATGGGGGAAAGAGATGATTGGTGTTTGTTATTATGCCATGGTCAGGTGCAGTCTAAACATACTAGTTAAGTGCACTTTCAAATGGAAATGTTCAGGCTTAACTGACAGTGACCTTGATGACAAGGAGGATATTCTTTTGGTCATGGGTACCATGCTATTGGAGTTTGATGTATGATTAAGCAAGTGTCTGCAATTTAAACCATGCCAACTGGATTTGTCTGGATTTGTTATTAAAACACTGGATTCAGAATATGAAAATTCAAGAATGCATGACCTTTATCTGTGGCTAGTCTAAGCATTCCCTGCGGCCACATCTCAAGTGCTGTGTTCAGTTCTGGGCCCCTCAGTTCAAAAAGGACATTTTGATGCAGAAGCCAGTCTAGAGAAGGGAATGGAGCTGGGGAAGGGTCTGGAGCACAAGTCTTATGAGGAGTAGCTGAGAGAGCTGGAGTTTTTGAGCCCAAAGGAGAATCAGGGGAGACTTTGCCACACCCTACAGTTGCCTGATAGCAGGTTGTAGCCAGGTGAGGATCAGGTCTTTTCCCAGGGAACCAGTTACAGGACAAGGAGAAACAGCCACAAGCTATTTCAGGGAAGGTTTATGTTGGATGTAAGGAAAGATTTCTTCAGTGAAAGAGTGGTTAAACAGTGAACAGTCTGCTCAAGGAGGAGATAGAATCAGTATGCCTGGAAGTGTTCAAAAGAACAATGATGTGGAACTTGATATAGTCCAGTTGGGATGGTGGTGTTCAGTCAGAGTTTGGATTTAATGATCTTGGAGGTTGTTTCCACCCTTTATGATCCTATACCCAAACTAGCTTTCTTCTAGGTAGCTTAACTTCTGCTAATATCTGCAAAGGAGTGAGGTTTGAAAAATGCTCAAGAGAAGCAGTTTTGATCCTTTGTTGAATGCCAAGTGTAATGGTGGCAGAAAGTATTTGTTTGAAATGTACTGAACACTCTCATATTTAATTTTGACAGTGAGTTTGTGTAGCTTTTTAGGCGGTAAGTCTTGCCCTACATGATTATGCTCAGAGTTGTAATTGCAAAATACGGTTGTAGTAAGTCCTTTTCCTCACAAATCCTATATATTAAATTAGTGCTTTCCCATATCCTAGTGGTGTCCTACCTTTAAGGGGAAGACATCACCCGAGCTTCCTGGAAGCTTGCAAGAGAAAGGAACTTCAAAAGTGAGCAGGTCTGCAAAAGCTTAGAAGGTTTTATTAGTAGATTACACACTTTGAATGAAAATCAGTATGTTAGTCCCTGACCTGCCATATAAGTCCACAGCAGTGGGTTTTGAACAGAAAAAAATGTGGCTTCACAGCTATCCGACTGCTGATGTTTGAGATATACACATTGGCACCTTCTGCAGCTGGATACACATATTTTATACAATCTGATGCTTTCATAGAGAAGTGAATTTCCAGTTGGATTGATAATCTTCCAAAGGGAACATGTAAAACATTTTTTAGACCTCTGAGACAGCCTTGTGTTTCATTTGACTTCTAACAATCCTATCTTCACCTGTGGTTATATATCACAGTAAAAGGTGAGTCATGCTTGAGAATTAATTTTTTTCTTTTGGATCGATACATTCCTTTTTTCCATTTTACAGTGCAAAGAAAGAATGAGACCTGTCAAGGCAGCATTGAAACAGCTTGATCGACCAGAGAAAGGCCTTTCTGAAAGAGAACAGCTGGAACATACTAGACAGTGTCTTATCAAAATTGGGGATCATATTACTGAGTGTCTAAAGGAGTACACAAGTCCCGAACAAATTAAACAGTGGAGAAAGTAAGTTATTTTTTTGGGTTTTACTTGAAAAAGGGAAGTCTGCAATTGGTTCCTTTGAGAAGAGCAGGTTTTAGTTATTTCTCCTGTTTATTTTTCCCCTTTTCTTGTATCTTTCTGCTGTTTTCGATAGGAGTCTATTAAAAGGTAATTATACATTGTTCTGACTTGTAATGGATTGACTTTAAGCATTGATGCAGAGCCCTGTATTTTGTCCAGAAGGTGGAGACATCTCTCTCTTTAACACTGACAGCAAATGCTAGGGACTAGTCACTGCCACTGTGTTCAGTGAAAACCATTCTTACCTTTAACGATCTGGTTTTTCAACTTCAGGTCATTTTGGTTTTTTAATAATTCAAGTTGAAAATACAGTTCTAAAATTGTGTTGAATGTATGATTCCAAGTTATAGGATTCTTTCTTTTTTTTTTTAATGTACTCTAAAATGAAATTGTATATTGTGTATTAACTGTTACTTGATGACAAGTATTTATTATAATGTACTCAGATGCACTTGAAAAGTGAGGGAAGAGTTTACATCTATATCAGATGACAATATAAAAAGAACTAAGAAAAAAATACTGGTCTTGTATTTCATTGATATATTCTTAATGCAATTTGACTTACTTTTGTCAGAATGTTCAGTTAACGACTCTGTGCTTGAAAATACATCCTCTGATTATATATATATATCAAATTCTTAAGTCTTGCATTTTCTTGAAGAATTCTGTTAGTGTAATTTGCTTCTGCTGATTTTACTTCCTTTACTTGAAAATAGTAAGGTGATCTGAGATACAAAAGCAAGATCCGTGTCTTAGGTTTTGGAAGTTTTTTTTTTTATTATTTTAAGTGGAAACTTGTAATAGAGCTGTTATTGAGAATAATGCTATGATGTTATGTGTAGATAAATAAAATTATTTTTGCTACATTTGATAAGAAGTATTGTAGTTTATATTAAGTTAGAATGATCTCATTAGGCACAGCATTGACTGGCTGCATACGTAGTCAAACTTGTGGACAGAAATTATCATGTTTAAATAATCACAGTGAAGGAAAATCCTGCTGCTTTGTGAACCCCCATACTTCAAATATTTCTGAACACTGTACTCTGTAGACTTTTCTAAGCATTCCACCTGCAAATTTCACTAAAAAAATAAGTATCTGATAAAAAAACTTCACCTGTGATCATGGAAGAAAAAGCTTTCTTCAGAATTTTGGCATCTTGACAGTGAAAAACTGTCTTTGCTCTTCTTCAGTTCCTTCAAGCACAGATTTGGCACAGATTTATTACCCTATGACTTCTGTCCTCTTTCACATCTCTTACTTTGTTTCCAAAAACCTTGACTAGACTTTCAGAAGTCTGTGGAAAATTTCTCTTGCTGATGGTTTAATACAATAAGGTTTGTTGTGTCAAGTGTGTTATCCTGTAAGAAATTTCACATTTGAAAGAATTTTTACTTCCTTTAGGTACTTAAATTTTTAATTCACACACTGGTAAATACTCACAATTCAAACAAATTTTTAGAAGATATATATATATCAACTGATAGCTATGTTTTAAATAAGAATTTTACAAAAATTTAACAATTCTTATTAGTACTATTGTCCTTGCTCTTCACACTCTGAAGTACTTACAATAAATATTAAAAAGTGAAAAATTTTTAAAGGGATCAGTCTTTCAGATATTTAATTTACAACCGGATAACATTTCTTGTGCAATTTGGCAATATTGAGTAGCTTATATACCATTTCCAGTTTACTGAAGTACTGTTCAAATAATTTCAGTCAAATCCATGTTCTGCTACGTAATAAAGGGCAAAGAAATTTAAAGAAGACTTACAACTTTTCTTTTTTTCTTCTTCCTCAGAAATTTGTGGATTTTTGTATCTAAGTTTACAGAATTCGATGCCAGAAAGCTGCACAAACTGTATAAACATGCAATCAAAAAACGTCAAGAGTCTCAGGTAATATTTTTAAATAGTTTTGAAATACACATATATATATTTTAATTATTATAACTTTTATTAGATTTAGACGATTATGAAGAACATGGAAATACACTTCAAGTTGCTATTTGTGTTTGCAGTATAATAGTCTCTTTTGATAGAGTATTTTTCTAATGTATTCAAATGAACTTTGGGATTTACTAATAAGTACATTTACCAGTGTAAAAAGTGTACTTGTCTTTTTTAGCAACACAGCGATCAGAATATTAGCGGTCATGTGAATACACATGTAATTAGAAATCCAGGTAAGAAACTTTCAAGTATATTCTTGTGTTAAATACCTTAAGTATTCATGTTTATTTCATTTCACATGTCTTCTGGTTCTGTTTTCCACATGGTTAAGTACCACAGTAATAGACTAATTCGAAAACCTTCACTAATTTGCTCTTGAAATCCAGCAGAGTGCAGAGTGAAGCTGGTACTTACTAGGTTATTTGAGCATCCTTTAAAAAAAACCTATTTTCGTGTTAAATTTTGGAGAGAGCAAGAGGTCTACTTAAAACCTGTAAACTTATCAGAAATTCTGAGACAGTAGCTGTCACAGTGTCACTATGATGAAAGACTATAGTCTCATAGTCTGACTGGATGTCACAGTTTTTAGTTACAGGGGCTGTCTTTTATTGTTGTCATTAACACTCATTTTTTTCCCCACATGTTTCCACACCTGCCTTTTTGTATGTAGTGCTTTATTTAATCTTGTGTTACTGAACTTCCAAGTATATTGTCATGGACTTAAAATCAACAATCACAAATTTTAGGAATACCACTGAAATTTTTTTGCTAACAAGGTGTTTCTTTAAACTATTACTCATACTAAGTCTATGCCTTCTTAGAGAGGAAGTTGCTGCCATTCTATCTAAAATTGCTCTACTGAAGGTACTCTCTACTCACTGCCCATTTGGACACTCAGCTTCATAGACTGGAGAGGTTGAGAAGTTCTGTGCATCTACATTTCCAAGTCCTATGCATCTACATTCTAGCTTGATTTCCTCTTAAATCTGAGATTTTTTGTGTTCACTGGCATTATTGCATTTGATTTTCAGCTATTTAGGTCTTCTTTCTTTTAAATTATGTCCATTTCATACTGGTTTACAGCTGACAGATAGAAGTGCCGTTTGAATTAGGCGAAGTAAAAATGTTATGGTATTTCCTTTTAACCTCTGCTTTATTAAACAGATGTGGAAAGGTTGAAGGAGAATACAAACCATGATGACAGTAGCAGGGACAGCTATTCCTCTGACAGACATCTGTCACAATACCATGATCATCATAAGGACAGGCATCAGGGAGATGCTTACAAGAAAAATGATTCCAGGAAAAGGCCTTATTCAGCCTTCAGCAATGGAAAAGATCACAGAGACTGGGATCACTACAAACAAGACAGCAGGTGAGTTTCTTTAGCAATTTTGAAACCTGGTAAGAATTCCCTTTGTGTTTTTGTAGTTATGTTTGTAGGAAGTGCCAGTCTTCTGAGTAACACAAAATTACAACAGTGATCTTTCTCTAATGCAGTTCTGTCAATTTTACATGATTGTGGCTCTTGATGTGTTACCAGTAACTAATACAAATAAGTTCCTGTTTTTTAGGTACTACAGTGATAGTAAACACAGGAAGTTAGATGACTACAGGAGCAGAGACCACAGGTCAAGCCTGGAAGGGAGTCTAAAAGACAGCCGGGTTCATTTGGATCACCGTTCCCATTCAGACCACAGGACACATTCAGATCACCGTTCCTCTTCAGAGTACAGCCATCATAAATCTCCTAGAGATTATAGGTACCACTCAGACTGGCAAATGGACCATAGAGCTTCAGGTAGTGCCCCAAGGTCACCCCTGGATCAGAGATCTGCTTATGGTTCAAGATCTCCCCTCGGTCACAGATCTCCGTTTGAACATTCATCAGATCACAAAAGTACACCTGAACATACATGGAGTAGTCGGAAAACATAACAAAGACTGATATTTTCTGGACCTTCTTTTAGCCATATACAGTAAATTAACACAGTAATTGCCTTACATGACTTGAAAGATACAGACGGGATATTCTATCAGTAGCAGTATTGTTACTTCTTTCCAGGATGCAAGGTCTATTATCCCAACAGAAGAAAAATATTTTTGTATTTAAAGTTTATGCTGCACTGTGCTGCAAATGCTGTGGCACTTTTTTTAAGAAATTGAAGATGTTTACTTTTACAGGGACCTCAACACTGCCCATTTCAGACTGGATCTTAGTATGACACTCTTCATGTCAAAGTGGTTTGAGGCTGATAATGTTTTAAGTTATGTTTGTAAATGAACTTTTAAACACTGACCTGTGCTCATATTTCAGGAGGGAATGGGGAGAATATTTTTTTTTCTTAGTAAAGAATTCTCAAGGACTTTGTTCACTTTCCAAAGCTACTTGTTTACATTGTACACTGCGACCACCTTGCCGCTTTTCATCACAAGCTTGAATATTTAAATTCTGTACCTATAACTGTAAAATAGTCAGGATTTCTCCTGTTTGTGATCAGTTACAATGCCTTTTTACAAAACAAACAAAAAAATAAAAGCAAAACACAAACTAATGGCTGTAAATTGTTGTAAATTTATTAAATGAGCTTTCCCCCCCCCCCCCCCCCCAGGCTTTTTTTGACTGTTCCTTTCCTCACCAACTCAGGACTTCTTGTCACAGTTATGAAACAAAATCAGTGTACGTACATGTTTCAGTAAAAAACTTTGATGGAGTCACTGTTCAGAATGTAAAAATGGGGAAAGGAAACTTGCATTTAGTGCTCCCTTTTTTTGATACTTTCGATACATGTTTTGTTTTGTGGTTTTGGGGGGATTTATGTTTGTTTTGGTTAGTTTTTGTTTGTTTTGGTTTTTTGTTGGGGTCGGTTTGTTTTTGTGGGTTTTTTTTTGTTGTTGTTTGGAGGTTTTTTTTGGGGGGGGGTCTTTTTCCTGTATTAAGCTGTTGATGTTGTGACTGTTTGTAATGAAATGGTAAGAAATTTCTAGCTAAACTGTGCTCTGGAAAGCTTTTCAGGTGCATTGGTTTTAAAGGAGGTGTGTCAAATACCTGAACATTCAGTATCCAAATCAATCAAAATTAATTGTAAATTCATATGTTCCCTCTTCAACATGGGCAATAATGTCAAATGTGCTATGCAGGTAGTTAGTATTTTAGAAGATTTGAATTATGACTTTACTGACAGAATTGTTACAATGCACACTGATTGTACATAGATAACTTCTATCTGACAAATTAAATTTAAAGTAAAAGGACATGTGGGTCTTGTAGTTTTCTGCTGTGTTTTTCTATACTGTGTTACTTTTCCCCAGGATTACTGAATTTTATTCCTGGTGATAAATAGAGAAGGTACCTAGCCTGGCATCAGGTGGCAGGAGCTGCATCTGCTGCTGCAGTTTTTCTCTGCTCCGCTATGTTTTCCCCTGTTTTGATCCTTCATGCATATGTTGTGGTGTCTGATCAGCATTCAGACAGTTGCTGGTTTCTGAGAGTCTTTCACCACAATCAACAGGACTTGCAAAAGATTTGGGCATCTCTCACTGAAGGATTGGCAGTGGTGTTAACATAAGCCCTGACCTCCCTTTGAGACTCCCTAGGATAAGTACCTTTGATGCCCTTTTGAAGCTTGATTGCTTGTTTTGTCCCTGTGAGATAGTTTGTCATCCACAGACATATCTTGTGAGTTTCACAGCCCTAATTGGGTAGCTGCAGGGCTCCACTCACAATGTAAGATCCCAGGGAAGTACTCTGGTAGCAAAGCAGTTTTAAGGAGCTGTTTCCATCTCCAGTGTTGCACCTAGTGTTGTGTTTAGTGACAATAGCTCTTTTCGGTAGGAAATTACCTCACCATTACTTAGGAATTATACAGAAATCAATGTAGAATAATTATTGTTTCTGTTACAGAGTAGTAAATAATGTTAAAATAATAATACCTGGTATGAGTTATCCATTTGTACCAAACAAGGTTTGTTTTAGTGAACTGTGTTAGGACAAGTGTGTGCTGGCACTTTGTCATTATTCTTCCAACAAACTAGTGTGGCTGCAGCTGAAATTTCAGTTTTGTTCTTAAAATTTTACATTGAATCTTTTATTCAGTGAAACAGTCTAGAAGCAGTAGCTATGGAACACAATTTTGTGGGATGCTGATAGGAGCAGAATGAAGAGAAGGCTAATGGAATTAGTTGTTTCTTAAGCTTTTGTTTAACTCTCTATTCCATTTACTTAAGATATAAGTGGAGAACACCTGAGTAATGATAAGTACCTTCTGGTCCACCTATCCTTAAACACCCATGGTGTATTTGGATATGGCCAACACAAAACCAGTCTTTCTAGCATGTATTTTCCAGGCCCATAGCCCTACCAATTTATTGGTATTTTTTTTTTTGTATTTTTAAAGCTTTTAAAAATGAAAAATTTGTCATAAAAGATTAAATTTAGTGATGATTGTTAATTTGCATTAAAATGTAAGAATTTCTGTGTAATTGTCCTGATTAAAAGAAAATAACTATTTCTGAACCTTGCATAACAAAATAATTTTGATTTGTAAATTATTTTTAGCATCTTCATAAACCTATTCAAAAACTACTCTTGAGATTGAGGCATTACCACAGTTGATCCCATTTTTGCAGTAACAAAAAGAAGGGCTTTGCTGGAAGGCTGACAGTCTCAGCTGTGTTAGGATGCCTGTGAGGGAGTCAGGTGACTGCAAGTTTCTTGTATGCCAGATAGGTGACTGTGAAAGAAATGGTGCCCCAGGGTGCTGCAAGTCCCTCTGATGCCTGCTATTCCAGTGTGTCCAAAGTGTCCAAACCCAGCCTGATATTTTTATACCCCAAATTCCCACCCCACTTCTTCACCCTTAGTGTTTCTTGAAGACTTTGGTAATTGCAGCTGCAAGACTTCTGAGACATTTTGACGTATAAACTTTATATTCTAGTTCAAGAACTAAGACCGAAGCCTGAATAACATACTTGAACATTACACATTATTTATTTCACACATTTTTTTCATTAGACAAGTCTGTCTTCTCTGAAAATAAACACACAGATATCATGGAAGAAAATCATGTGACACTGATCCCATGAGAGTAAATAATCAGAGAGCTTTTATTACTGCTATAATAGCTTTTTTATACTGCTATTATATTTATTAGAGCTTTTTATTACTTTTATCCACTGTGTTTTATTTGCATCAGAACTAGTATTTGCTGCCGTAACTGAAGCATTTGGAAAGTAATCTCATTCATCACTTAAAATTAGCTACCAGATTTGGGTTTCCCTAATCTAGCATTGGTAAGTGGCTACCTGTATTGGATAGACCAAATGACACTTTGACATTCTTTTTAATCACTAAGAAGCACAGCAAACTTCAAAGTTTTGATTTGTATAAGCATACTAGCTCATCATTCTTTTCCAGTCTTGGAACTGTGAAAAGTGTTCAATGACTGAGCAATGTCTTAGTTTGAAAGACAGGTGTCTGTTATAAATAAAAAATCTGCCAAATTTTTTGGGAAAAAAAAAAAAAGTTGTAAACCAGTCAAGCCAGTTGTTGCTGCTGCAGTTACACCTGTTAGCTATAATCACAAGTCGTCGTAGTTAATGGCTCCTTTTGTACCAGTAAAGGCCCTGGCTAGGGCTAAGTTAATGGCTCTTCTACCCAGACAGTGAGGAGAGGGGATGAGACGTGGGAGGGGGCATCAGAAGATGCAAAAAAATAACTTCGGGACCAGCATGCCATGGGAAATGTCAAACTTACCGAAAAGACCCCAAAAACAACGAGCCAATACAGAATTAAGAAATTAGAGTGATGCCTGGACGTGAAGAACAGAGTGCTGAGCCTGCAGAGATGCTGAAAACGTTTGTCCCTCACACCCTGAGCACGACATCATCTGAAACCAAGACCCCGAGCCGGGAGTCAGTGGAGAGTCAAGATTGGGGTTACGCCCAAGGCTCCCACGAGGACGGGACCCCCAGCTCTGCCCTTTAGTGGACAAAGCTGTACATATCCTCCTCTTCCGAGTCACCCTGGGAGAGACGATGGAGACTGCAGACCCGTTGGGCTTCCCAATCTTGAGCTGTTTACTTTTAATAAAGGCATTAAAAGGAGAAAAAGTCTCCTGTTTATTTCAGTCTCCCTCCAAATTATTATAATACTGAAATTAAGGGACTCTCGGGCAAATATATGAAGATAGTGTTATAAATGATCAATTGAAAAGCCAATTTATCAAAAATGTGGAAAGATTTTATTTTTCTTTTTACGCGACAAAAATACGGTCCTCAAAACCACCACAGCCAAAGAGAGCGTCGAGCCCGAGGTTGGCGCTGAGTGAACCTAGATCCGACCTCTACAGCATCAGATCAACCCCCGTTCATGTGCACTGCTTTTTGTGGGGCTGTTAGATACGGTTTTTATGCCTGAGGCAGAGGAGTTCTTTTGTAACTGTATATTCAAGACCGTTTCTTTCACTGTGCATAGCTGGACAATCGCTGTTTCCTGGTCGATAGCCAGTGTTAATCGTTCTGGGGAAGTCATGTATTCAGATATATCTTTCTGACAACTCCTGCTATCTCACTCGGGATAGCGGTGATCATCTCCCTGGGTAAGTCTATTCATAAGTTAACTGAGTATTGTTCTCCTGCTGCCTCCAGGAATCTCAGAATTCAAGCAGACGTCTGTCTTTGGGCTGCTTGTGGTCAGAGACTCGTTTGGATTTCACAATCTTATAAAATACATTCTCTCTATAAGCATTTCATAACATATATTACAATAGGAATAACAGTTCTTTACTAGTATGTGTAACAAGGCAAACAAACAACAAACAGAACCAGGAACCCCATGACAGCCTTCTCGGCCAAGACGGGAAGGGATGGAGGAGCAGCTCTGCTTCACTAAACCCTGCAGCAGTCAATTCTCAGTGCCCCTGCAGGACTCTGAGGTG